AGACCAGAGAGAGCGAGAGACAGAGAGAGAGAGAGACCAGAGAGAGAGAGAGATAGTTTGATAGATTTCATTTTTCATCAGAGGCAGTTCCTCTGTTGAAATGTGGCTCTCTGATTGGCTGCAGTGATGGTGCTCTACTCTTTTTCATTTCTCTGTCTGAAAAAGCTGATCTGAAGAAGTGACAGAGGCCAAAACGCATGTGTGTGAAAACGTGTGACAGAGCATAGGATCCTTACCACCTTGCCTCCTTTCCTCGCCTCTCTAACCCTTGGTCCTTCCCTATTGTCACTACAGTCTCACTATCGCATTCTTTCATCCTCCCTGCTTCCTCCAGAACCTCCTCAGCTCCTCCTCCTCCTCCTCTCATCCCTCATCTTTGATCCATCCTCGCGTAATGAACCAATACTTCTGAAATTCCTATAGAGCTTGCCCCTCATCCACGTTCACATTTCTTCTCTTCTGTATTTTTACTATACATTCAAACTCCTCCGTCACGAAATATATATTTAAAAACCCGAACGTGCTATTTATAATTCCTGTGCGTAAAGGTTGCGTCTTAGCGCGAGTCTCCATCCTTGTTGGCTAATGCACATCCATCCTCTGCCACTGCATCAGCTGCCACGGCGCTTCTCCTGCTCGGACGTCACCGACTCTCTCCACTTCCTCTCCTTCCCGTGCTAGGTTTTTTTTCTCCCTTTTTTTGTTCCAACCCAGAGCGTCTCTCCTTTTCGCTCGCTGCCTCTCGCTCTCTACACGCCGCCCACTTATTCCCCACCATTGATCCGAGCGCTCTCACCGGGTTCTTCCTTCCTTCGCCTCCATCGCATCCCCCTCGGCATCAAGAGGAGAGAAAGACAGGCGCAGCACCGACAGAGAGCCGCACCAGAGCCACAGCCAGGATTTAGGAGAAAAAAAAAGCAGCAGAGGAGAACCACCAGGCACCATGGCGAGTACCGAGGATAAACCAGCCAACAAGGAGAACGCGTCTAGTTGGAAAGACTCCTTCTACAACCCCAGGACTGGAGAGGTTCTGGGGCGCACGGCCAGCAGCTGGGGTAAGCCTCTCCCGTTCATTCATTGCCTCCAATTAGAGCTACACGTTTTCACCCCAAGCTACAATTTTCTCCTAATAGCGCAGAACCGGTGGCCTAGACCAAGGTGGCAAAGCCTGCGCGGGTGATTCTGTCCTTTTCTCAAGACACCCTCAGCGTTTTGCCGCATTGCTTGCATTTCTCGTTGAAATGAGTCATAACCAATCACACATCTATAGTGTCTGTATGACAGGATGATACAGTATGTGCAGCTATTCCCTGTAACCCTCATCTTAGCTTTGCCCATACATTTATGTAATGCAGGCCCCAGTCATTGGCTCAGCACTGAGGGGACAAAAGGTCATTTTCTGCCATTTTTAAAGGTGCGATCACCTTCTGAGATGGAATGTGATGGAAAACGACGTGGCTTTTTGGCCGGTCACTCACACACGCAGGGATGAGGAGAATTTCATGTGAAAGATGAGCCACTATGTGTAGTCAATGACATGAGTAAGCCATTGTAACAGCACTGGCCATTCCCTCTCATTAGTGTGATTCATCCAGGACACGTCTGTGCCGCTGCATCAGGCTCACAACGCTCCCAATGACAGTGTCAGCCTTCCACCTGATCAGTGCTAATGATGCGCCAGTCATTTGCAACAGGGGGGACGCGAGCTCAGCCTCCCCTCCACGAAGCCCACTCCTCACAGGCCCTGACTGCGGGCTGCGCTGGGCCCCTGTGCTGCTGCTGGAGTGGGATGCTCCATTGCAGTTGCATGGCCGCCCACATTAGCATGCTTGTCAAGGTCAAACGGGATCCCCTCTCTCCTCTTTCTCCCCGTCTTTCCGTGCACGCGAGCCGGGGAAGGTGCATTGTGGGATATATATACGGCTGGAGATCATGAAGCGGCGGCAGAGTGGGGGGTGAGGAGCAGCAGCAGAGAGGGGGGCCCATCGGTTTTTAGAGGGCAGAACCATTTTGAGTCAGATGTGAAGGAGGCAGGAGGCGGCAGATGCTCTCAGCGCTGCAGTGGCATTCCAGGAGCCAGGGATGTAGGAAGCAGAGGCCCGTCTCCAAGGATGGGATTAAAGAGAGGCAAGAGAGATGGCGTCCTGGCTCTTTGTCTCTCTCTCGCTGCGTGTCTTTGTGGCACAGATGATGCCTGTCACTGCAGCTCCCAGCGTGCTCCAACACACTCTTTCTACACATAGTCGTATTGCAGTGGTAAAGGTGAGCCCAGAAATTCACTCCAGCAACTCCAAGTCATAGAGACACACCTCGAACGCCCAGGCACCCCTCCTGAATGTATAAGTAATAAGTGATGCAGTGTGGTTAGAACTCATCTGCAATGAAAGACCGGAGCGAGATGTAAGTCCGTTTTCAATGCAATCACCAGATGTTCAGAAATCACCCATGTTCACCCGGGTTTATCGTTTTGACTCGGATTGGTCAAAGTTTACAGAGATTTGGTCATTTTACGCCACATGGAAGAAGTCGCCGTGATCTGGTTTCAACAATGTGACCTACTGATGGATTGATTGCGTTGTTTTAAAACGTAAAAAAAATGCTTCTCGACCTTTTCAAACTGTCGCATTAAAACCAGGACTCCCAGAATTCTAACCTTAACCTTAAACCTATTCCCCAAAGTCAGGCTTTTTCCCAGTTTAGTCATGCTTTAGAACCGGTTTATCCCTCTGTTTGTATTGCTTTTCCATGGCGGTGATGGGAACCCAAACATCAGTGCTGGTTCTTAACACCAAAACTCCCATAAAATTAATGGAATTCTGAAAAAAATCCAAGAAAAAAGTTCAGTTTTTTCTCTGCTTTTATTGAAGTTCAGTAATTAATACGGTTTTATCTTTAGTGTCGGATAAAACTGGTTAATATACATGAAACATACAGAAAAAGTATTACTAACGGATGCTAACAGTGTGTTGCTATGGTAACTAGGACTCGCTCCAATCTCACATTGATAGATAGATAGATACTTTATTGATCCCCGTAGGAGAAATTCAGGTGTCCAGCAGCAGAAACCATATAAATTATCATTCTAAAAATCTAACAAGCAGTAGGGACGGAGTAGCCTCTGGGTGGAGCAGGATGGGTCACAGCAGCAGAGGTGGAGTAGCCTCTGGGTGGAGCAGGACGGGTCACAGCAGCAGAGGTGGAGTAGCCTCTGGGTGGAGCAGGACGGGTCACAGCAGCAGAGGTGGAGTAGCCTCTGGGTGGAGCAGGACGGGTCACAGCAGCAGAGGTGGAGTAGCCTCTGGGTGGAGCAGGACGGGTCACAGCAGCAGAGGTGGAGTAGTCTCTGGGTGGAGCAGGACGGGTCACAGCAGCAGAGGTGGAGTAGTCTCTGGGTGGAGCAGGACGGGTCACAGCAGCAGAGGTGGAGTAGCCTCTGGGTGGAGGAGGACGGGTCACAGCAGCAGAGGTGGAGTAGCCTCTGGGTGGAGCAGGACGGGTCACAGCAGCAGAGGTGGAGTAGCCTCTGGGTGGAGCAGGACGGGTCACAGCAGCAGAGGTGGAGTAGCCTCTGGGTGGAGCAGGACGGGTCACAGCAGCAGAGGTGGAGTAGCCTCTGGGTGGAGCAGGACGGGTCACAGCAGCAGAGGTGGAGTAGTCTCTGGGTGGAGCAGGACGGGTCACAGCAGCAGAGGTGGAGTAGTCTCTGGGTGGAGCAGGACGGGTCACAGCAGCAGAGGTGGAGTAGCCTTTGGGTGGAGGAGGACCGGTCACAGCAGCAGAGGTGGAGTAGCCTCTGGGTGGAGCAGGACGGGTCACAGCAGCAGAGGTGGAGTAGCCTCTGGGTGGAGCAGGACGGGTCACAGCAGCAGAGGTGGAGTAGCCTCTGGGTGGAGCAGGACGGGTCACAGCAGCAGAGGTGGAGTAGCCTCTGGGTGGAGCAGGACAGGTCACAGCAGCAGAGGTGGAGTAGCCTCTGGGTGGAGCAGGACGGGTCACAGCAGCAGAGGTGGAGTAGCCTCTGGGTGGAGCAGGACGGGTCACAGCAGCAGAGGTGGAGTAGCCTCTGGGTGGAGCAGGACGGGTCACAGCAGCAGAGGTGGAGTAGCCTCTGGGTGGAGCAGGACGGGTCACAGCAGCAGAGGTGGAGTAGCCTCTGGGTGGAGCAGGACAGGTCACAGCAGCAGAGGTGGAGTAGCCTCTGGGTGGAGCAGGACGGGTCACAGCAGCAGAGGTGGAGTAGCCTCTGGGTGGAGCAGGACGGGTCACAGCAGCAGAGGTGGAGTAGCCTCTGGGTGGAGCAGGACGGGTCACAGCAGCAGAGGTGGAGTAGCCTCTGGGTGGAGCAGGACGGGTCACAAGGTGGAGTAGCCGCTTGGTTTGGACCATTTTCTCTGCTCTGGTCCAAAGTAAAATACTAAATGCTTCATTAGCATTTTTCAAAAAGTTAGCATTCCTCCAGTGGATTTTCGCCTGATCCTCTTGGTTCGGACCATGAATCCTCTCTGCTCTGGTCTGGACACTGTACTGCAGCAACTCAGGCAGAAAAAAAGAAATAAAAATAGAAATTGTAAAGCACAAAACAACAACTGTTTCAGAGCTACTTGGGACTTGCAGCCGTTTTCCAGCACATTCAAAAGAACCAGTTTAGGATCGGTCGAGGATCAAGATAACTATTTGAATATAGATTTTTAAAACTAGTTAAGAAGACCAAAAACGTAGATGCAGTAAAAGGAGTAATTGCTCTTCCAAAACCCAAAATCCGTCAAATTGACTGCTCTGGGAGTAGAACCAGCGCTAATATTTGGGTTCCCATCACCACCGTGGAAAAGTGATAGACATGGTACCAGTGATACACATGGTACCAGTGATACACATGGTACCAGTACTAATGCGCTAAGGACTAAACTGGGAAGAGCCAGATTTCGGGAGATGGAACAAATAGAACTCACGGTTTAAGAGATAAGATAAACTTTATTGATCTCACAATGGAGCACATGACTGGCTCAACTCTCCTTTAAAAACATAAACAAAAGATAATTATTTGACATAATTGGCCTTTTATGTAAGATTTAAAAAAAGAAAAACATTTTTAAAACAAATATTACTCTAAAATTAGGCTTCCTGCTTCCTTAACTAAACAAAATGAGACACATGACTATTTTACATAGAATCAAGAATAAAGGTAGTAGGTAGAAGCAGCAGTAGCAGTGGAAGTAGTAGTAGTAGTAGTAGTAGTAGTAGTAGTACTAGTAGTAGTAGTAGTAGCAGCAGCAGTAGCAGTAGTAGTAGTAGTAGTAGTAGTAATAGTAGTAGTAGTAGTAGTACTAGTAGTAGTAGTAGTAGCAGCAGCAGTAGTAGTAGTAGTAGTAGTAGTAGTAGTACTAGTAGTAGTAGTAGTAGCAGCAGCAGTAGCAGAAGTAGTAGTAGCAGCAGTAGTAGTAATAGTAGTAGTAGTAGTAGTACTAGTAGTAGTAGTAGTAGCAGCAGCAGTAGTAGTAGTAGTAGTAGTAGTAGTAGCAGTAGCAGTAGTAGTAGTAGTAGTACTAGTAGTAGTAGTAGTAGCAGCAGCAGCAGCAGTAGTAGTAGTAGTAGTAGTAGTAGTAGCAGTAGCAGTAGTAGCAGTAGCAGTAGAAGTAGTAGCAGTAGTAGTAGTAACAGTAGTAGTAGTAGTAGCAGTAGCAGTAGTAGTAGTAGTAGTAGTAGTAGTAGTACTAGTAGTAGTAGTAGTAGCAGCAGCAGCAGCAGTAGTAGTAGTAGTAGTAGTAGTAGTAGCAGTAGTAGCAGTAGTAGCAGTAGTAGTAGTAGTAGCAGTAGCAGTAGTAGTAGTAGTAGTAGTAGTAGTAGTAGCAGTAGTAGTAGTAGTAGCAGTTGTAGTAGTAGCAACAATAGCAGCACCAGTAGAAGTAGTAACAGTAGCGGCAGAAGCGGCATTAGCAACAGTAGTAGTAGCAGTAGCAGTAGAAGTAGTAGCAGTAGTAGTAGTAGCAGTAGTAGTAGTATAGTGGTAGTTGCAACAATAGCAGCAGCAGCAGCAGTAGATGTAGTAATAGTACTGTAGTATAGTAGTATCAGCAGAAGTAGTAGCAGTAGCAGTAGTGGCAGTAGTGTTAGTAGTAACAGTAGCAACAGTAGTATTAGCAGTGTGAGCAGTAGCAGTAGTAGCAGCAGTAGAAGTAGTAACAGTAGCAGCAGTAGCGGCACTAGCAACGGACGGTAGTATTAGCAGAAGTAGTAGCGGCAGTAGTAGTAGCAGCAGCAACAGTAGTAGCATAAGTAGCAACAGTAGCAGCAGTAACGTTTGTCTCTGAGCAGAAGGTTGGTGGTTCGAATCCCGCTCCCGACATAATCATTGAGTGGTCAAACTGGCGTGAGACCTGTTGGAGATTGCTGATGTTTGATTAATGTAATCGTTTTATCTGAATATTTGGACCTGACTCAGACAAAAGTTTAGTAATTCTAATTCACCCATCCATCCATTTTCTTCATGAATTACAGCAGGAAACGTCTTAAAACCCTGTCATATTTGCTTCAAAGCTGTGATGCTGGTTGCCATGGAGACGTAGTTTCTTTGCTTGGACCGTACCTTCATTGTGTCAAAATTGCACAAAAAACCTGATTTTTTTTTCCCAGGGTCGGCTCTCCTCTCCGCAGATATGACATATATGTATAGCACAGTTACATTCAAAGGGCTTAAGAAACACATAGAAACAATTCAATAATCAGGGCTAAAAATAACTGTTTTTAACCTGGATTTGAACATTGTCAGAGAAGAGGCCTGTCTCACATTTTCAGGAAGACAGTCCCAGGTTTTAGAAGGTTAGGGATGGGGTTGGTTGTGATTCCTGGTTTAGTAAAGTTAGAATTATTCTTTAAAATGACTAATATTTACAAAAAAAACGGTAGACGCTGGGAGCCAATCAGAGTGTTCTGTTCAGATAATCAGGTTGAGAACTTAAATTTTAACTGTTGGTCTAAATAATATTGGTGTAATCTAAATTAAGATTAAATCAGCATTTAATCAGAAAAAGAAAAAATATTATTCAAAAGATGGAGATGCTTTTGAAAACCATAATGTTACTGTCGCTTTAAATGTCTAATGTTACGGTCTCGACATTTACAAATATCTAACTCACAAAAAGTGTGTTTAAAAAGTCATCCAATCAAAATCCATTTTACGGTTTCTGACAAAAATGGCAGATTAAGATTAAGATTAGGAGGTCTTGTATTGGTCCCACAGTGCGGAAATTCCAGTGTTGCATCACTAGTGACAGAACAGTAGGAATGAGGAGCACACAACACAAGAGAAATGAACAATAACTCTGTAATAAAATAAAATCAAATCTGTAACTTTAGCATAACAAAGAAGCAAAAATAAATATAATACTGTATATTCTAGTGCCAGAAATATAGAGTTGTATGTTTACATCTGTTAGATCTGTCCCACAGTGGGGAACTTCCATTGTTGCATCACAAACAGTAGGAATGAGCACCACCATCACCAGGACCTCAAGTGGGAGCCGACCATCAGCTCCTCATCAAGAAGACCCAGCAGAGGATGTACTTCCTGCGGCAGCTCAGGAAAGCCAAGCTGCAGTTCTACACGGCCATCATCGAGTCCATCCTCACCTCCTCCATCACCTCCTCCATCACCTCCTCATCACCTCCTCCATCACCTCCTCATCACCTCCTCCATCACCTCCTCCATCACCTCCTCCATCACCTCCTCCATCACCTCCTCATCACCTCCTCCATCACCTCCTCCATCACCTCCTCCATCACCTCCTCATCACCTCCTCCATCACCTCCTCCATCACCTCCTCCATCACCTCCTCCATCACCTCCTCATCACCTCCTCCATCATCTCCTCATCACCTCCTCCATCACCTCCTCCATCACCTCCTCCATCACCTCCTCCATCACCTCCTCCATCACCTCCTCATCACCTCCTCCATCACCTCCTCCATCACCTCCTCCATCACCCCCTCCATCACCTCCTCATCACCTCCTCATCACCTCCTCCATCACCTCCTCCATCACCTCCTCATCACCTCCTCCTCATCACCTCCTCCATCACCTCCTCCATCACCCCTCATCACCTCCTCATCACCCCTCCTCCATCACCTCCTCCATCACCTCCTCCATCACCTCCTCCATCACCTCCTCATCACCTCCTCCATCATCTCCTCATCACCTCCTCCATCACCTCCTCCATCACCTCCTCCATCACCTCCTCCATCACCTCCTCCATCACCTCCTCATCACCTCCTCCATCACCTCCTCCATCACCTCCTCCATCACCCCCTCCATCACCTCCTCATCACCTCCTCATCACCTCCTCCATCACCTCCTCCATCACCTCCTCATCACCTCCTCCATCACCTCCTCCATCACCCCTCCACCTCCTCCATCACCTCCTCCATCACCTCCTCATCACCTCCTCCATCACCTCCTCCATCACCTCCTCCATCACCTCCTCCATCACCTCCTCCATCACCTCCTCCATCACACCTCTCATCCCTCCTCCATCACCTCCTCCATCATCTCCTCATCACCTCCCCTCCTCCATCACCTCCTCCATCACCTCCTCATCACTCCTCATCACCTCCTCCATCACCTCCTCCATCACCTCCTCATCACCTCCTCCATCACCTCCTCCATCACCTCCTCCATCACCTCCTCCATCACCTCCTCATCACCTCCTCCATCACCTCCTCCATCACCTCCTCCATCACCTCCTCATCACCTCCTCCATCACCTCCTCCATCACCTCCTCCATCACCTCCTCCATCACCTCCTCCATCACCTCCTCCATCACCTCCTCCATCACCTCCTCCATCACCTCCTCCATCACCTCCTCCATCACCTCCTCCATCACCTCCTCCATCACCTCCTCCATCACCTCCTCCATCACCTCCTCCATCACCTCCTCCATCACCTCCTCATCACCTCCTCCATCACCTCCTCCATCACCTCCTCCATCACCTCCTCCTCACCTCCTCCATCACCTCCTCCATCACCTCCTCCATCACCTCCTCCATCACCTCCTCCATCACCTCCTCCATCACCTCCTCCATCACCTCCATCCCTCATCACCTCCTCCATCACCTCCTCCATCATCTCCTCATCACCTCCTCCATCACCTCCTCCATCACCTCCTCCATCACCTCCTCCATCACCTCCTCCATCACCTCCTCATCACCTCCTCCATCACCTCCTCATCACCTCATCACCTCCTCCATCACCTCCTCCGTCACCTCCTCCGTCACCGTGTGGTTCGCTGGAGCCACAGTCAGGGACAAACAGAGACTACAGTGCATTGTGCGCTCTGCAGAGGAAGTGATCGGCCGCAGCCTTCCATCGCTGCAGGACCTGTACGTCGCCCGAGCTCGAGGCCGGGCTGGTCGTATCACAGCCGACCCCTCTCACCTGCACATGGACTATTCCAACCACTCCCCTCTCACCTGCACATGGACTATTCCAACCACTCCCCTCAGGCAGGAGACTGCGGTCCACCAGGACTAGAACCTCCCGCCACAAGAACAGTTTCTTCCCCTCTGCTGTTGGACTCTTGAACACTTCTTAACCTGTCCCCCCGCCCTTTATAAAGTCACTTTACTGCCCTTTATAAAGTCACTTTACTGCCCATCATACATCACTTTACTGCCCTTTATAAAGTCACTTTACTGCCCATCATACATCACTTTACTGCCCTTTATAAAGTCACTTTACTGCCCTTTATAAAGTCACTTTACCTCACTGTACTGCTGTCACCTTACATTGTGTGCACCATGTGCACTTGTATATTGTAAATAGTAACTGTAACTCTATTTTAAATTAAAATGTATTCCTTAGAAGTGTTTTTTATTCTTATTTTTATTATCTCTTTCTGACTGTTGCACTGAGCCAAAGCAATTTCCAAGTCTGTGACTTCCTGTTACTTACGTGGCAATAAAAATGATTCTGACATATAGCACAAGATCAGTGAATATTAAGTATAGCAAATAATAATAACAATAATAATGATAATAATAATAATAATAATAATTAATGATAATAATAATAATAATAATAATAATAATAATGATAAAAATCTCTATCTTTACCTTGGAGTGCAGTGATTCCCAAACTTTTTCTGCTGGAACAAAAGAAGGCCAAACACACTCATTTTGACCAGTGCAGTTTATTTATTAATTAATTTATTCAGACGACGACAGAAAAAATAAAATAAAGGCAACTTGATAAAAAAAAAAAAAGGAAGAATGAAGTACATTTAAAAAAAAAACAACATTTACTAATTTCACACATTGTAATTAATATAAGCCTCGGCCCTAACTGCAGATTGTAATGTGTCAAAGAATTCTCCATCGTATGCTAGCAGTGTCATTTAGCCTACTGTATTTTCAGCTTTTTTCATACATTTTGATATTTACTATATTTTTGTTCACTCATTCGTCCCACGTCCCCTTCCCCCACTTTAGGAACCGTGCTCTAGTACATGGAAAATACACTTGTTCGAACACATCTGTAGATGAAGCAGTAAATATTGAGAATCGCAGCAGCACATTATGAGTGGATGTTTTGAAGTCTGGTCATAAATCATAAATGTTTAATGGGACGATGTGAGCTGCTGCTGCTTCTGTGAATGTTGTTGTGGCGTGTTACTGTAAAAACACTCAGTCCGACCGGAGCCACTTCCCTTCGCTCTGGGTGAGGCCAAACAGATGCATGATAATAATATACTTATTTATTTATACTGCAGTCATCAACCCACAAGTCTGAGGCCGGCCCCTGTAGCTCTGCACTGCGAGAAGTGATGAAAAATATGTGCAAAAATAATAATAATTTCAGTAGATTATGACTGCCTTTTTAACACAACACCTCTTTATTTAGCAAAATAAGCGTCTGGTCTCTGCTTGATTTTGTCTTTTCTTTTCTTTAGCACCAACGTCTTTGGACATCATCATATACTAATGATCACACTGCAAAAATTGATGAAAAAATAGTCGAAAAATGCTTGAATTTGCCAAAATGTCTCTTGTTTTTAGCACATTTTGACTGCATTAAAACCAGAGTTGCCAATGGGACAAAGCAAAGTGATCTTGTTTTTAAAAAAAATAAAGGAATGTCTTCCTTGGAATGAGAAAATAATGCATCAGTTCTTGAGATAAGTCTAAACTTCTTTGTCCCGTTGCAGAATCTTAATTAATGTGCATAAATTAATGAAAAACCCCTCGATTCAAGCATTTATTACCTCATATTCAGTTATTTTTGGCAGTGTACTACATACTAGGGATGTAAAAAACTATGAATTTTCATGACCGACCACCGAGCCTCATTAACCGGTTGAAACCGGTTAACCGCGTAGTTTAAAATAGTCCACGTTCTTTGAAATAACAGCCATTTCGAGCCGCGTACTTTTCATAAGTGCAGCTCTGCGTTCTACTGGATCAGAGTTGAGACAGCGGCGCCCAAACCCGCAACAGCTCCGGCACCTTTGCGCACAGAGAACTGCTTTTTTAATCTTCCCATTCTGCTGAGCTGCGGGTTAATACCAAAACTTTCTAGCAGCAAACACGGCTCGTTCACATGGTCAGAGCAGCGAGTGACGAGCCGCGTCTCACAGGTCTTCACAAAAGTTTAAATACAAGTGATGTGTGTGGAGCTGATCCCGAGGACCATAAACACAAACATGTTCCATGTGGTTTGACTGGAGCCGCGTATTTGAGGATCCTTTGGGCTCCGTGACACAGAGGAGCGCGACAGACCGGTATGTGTGTGTGTATGTATGTGTGTATGTATGTGTGTATGTGTGTGTGTATGTGTGTGTGTATGTATATGTGTGTGTGTGTAAATGTAAGCTCCAATGTAGTTCTGACCCGCGCCAGTGTGCAACTTTGACGGTAAAAGAGGGGAGAGATGATGCGTGTGGATGTTACGTATGGAGAGGGGGAAAGTGTGTGTGTGTGTGTGCGCGCGCGTGCGTGTGTGCATATGTGGCTCGTGCGGCGTGAGAGTCGTCCCGGAGTTTATAATACATGGGCGCACACAGCTAGATACAGACCCGCTCGTCACACCGTGCAAATAGGGCTTAAAATAGCTAAGAGACCTCCCCTCTCCCCTTTTTCTCTTTTTTAACCGACAGCTTTGACCGGTTAACGCTGTGACGGTCAACCACCGGTTAACCGGTCGCCGATTTACATCCCTACTACATACTGTATATATATATATATGGGCTACGGTTACAAAAGTGCGACAGAAGGCCAATATTATAGTATATACTCCTTATTTGTGTCATGAACCTTTGGACTGAGCAGAAATTTTTCAGATCCACATTTGATCCAGAGATTTCTTTCATGTAGTGAATGTGAAACCATCATTTCTTTTAAATGGTTTTTTTCTCAAGTTGAAAAAAATTGAGAGAAACCATCACGACCGTTACACATCTGTCAAGGGTTGTTTACATTGTTTTTTGTTTTTTTTATGATTCCTTTTTAGATGAAGCGATCTCCTGATGTGTCAATGTTAATCTGTTTAACTTGTTCCGACTGAGAACCTTTTATTTTCTCTGTCACTGAGTCACAGTAGAATTATCAAATCAGAGGCGGGTCTGGTCTTTTCACATTTCAGCAAAAGTCAATTTTTTATTTTTATTTTATCCAAACAATGACTTTGATCTGTCTGTGTTTTTCCGATCTATGATAATATTTTTAGTTTGTGAGTTATAACCTTTTAAAGTCCAGATTTACATCCACTTGAATGGACACACACACATCTATACAACTACACTATACATCTATTCTATACACACAACTGTTTTGATCGACAATATATTCTGATAAGCGATTATATTGAAACTGTTTTTTTGCCACTGATGCAAAGTACAAAACAGCAGGACAGTCCTAGAAGGCAAAGCAAGTTTATCTGTATGGCACAGTCCACACACGGCAACTCAAAAGTGCAGAACAAAACAAGAAACAGTCACACAATGCGTCACAATCTGTAAAGCAATTGTTTTTATTTGTCTATAGGACAGTAAGCAGCATAATGAAGTCAGATTTATTCAAACTTCTACGACTAAAATATCATTGTTTTAGAAAGATGTACAGACGATAAAGATTGAGGCCAGAATAGTCTGTTTTTTCCGTCAGTTATTGAATGAAAAATGCTAATCTCTCGTCTTCCTCATGCAGGTCAGACAAGTGCAGTAAGGATGGGTTTGGACTGGGTTTGGACTGGGTTTGGACTGGGTTTGGACTGGGTTTGGACTGGGTTGAGGGCCAGGGTCAGGCTCAAGCTCAGGGTCCGGTTCAAGGTCTGGGTCAGGCTCAGGCTCAGGGTCAGGGTCCGGGTCAGGGCCGGGTCAGGGTCTGGGTCCAGGTCAGGGCCAGGGTCAGGCTCAGGGTCCGGGTCCGGGTCAGGGTCAGGGTCCGGTTCAGGGTCTGGGTCAGGCTCAAGCTCAAGGTCCGGGTCCGGATCAGGCTCAGGGTTAGTGTTAGTGTTAGTTAGTTAGGAAGCATGCTCTCATCAGAAGCTAAGCAGGGCTGGGTCTGGTTAGTACTGTGATGGGAGACCTCCGGGATCGACACCAGTTGCCACAGCGGCTGTAAAGTGCCAAACTGTTGTTGTGTTCTTAGGCAAGACACCTCATGTGTGTGTGTGTGTGAGTCTGTATGAGAGTAGTTGTACATGTGTGTGGAGATGTTGGCTCAAATTTACAATTTTACTTCTGTTTGTGTGCCCCAGGGCAGCTGTGGCTACAGTAGTAGTTTGGAGTGTGTGTGGAGTGAATAAATCCTTCTGTGTGTAACAAGTAGTTTTGCTGATTACAGAAAATAATGTAATAATCCATCAATCTAGTTTGAACCTTATTTAGGCTTAAACTTAAACTGAGGAGAGGTTTTAATCCTGGTTGTTGTTTGCAGAGTCTGCTTGGTTTAGACCATTTTCTCTGCTCTGGTTCAGAGTGAAATTCTGAAGGCTTTGTTAGCATGGAACAGCTAGAAAAAAGGAAAAATAACAATTGGAAAACACGAAACAATAACTGTTTCAGAGCGACTTACGACTTGCTGCAGTTTCCAGTGCATTCCAAACTAAACATTAATCCTCCATACTTAAACTAGGGTCAAAGAAAGTTGAGCCCAAACCAGACCAAGACCAAGACCACTGCAAAACCAGGACCTTTCCAGCTGATATAACTTGCTACACTTTGAAAACCACTTTACATTCCTCTCCAAGTAGCGATCCATCAGAGCAGGGGCAGAAGAGGGCTCTCGGTCCCTGGATCCATGACCTTTGTGGACCTTACTCAGCTCGGTGACACCGCGGTCTCCGGGGAACTGCTTTCACTTTTAAACACCAAATATATATAAAAAAAACTTCACTTCACCCCCACAGAATTTTTTGTAAAAGTGTAGTCTGTTTAAAACATACAGTTAAGTGGGTTTTAAGAAGTGATTTAAAAGAGGATATTGATGGAGCTAGCCTTAGCCTCGGCTAATAGTTAATTAGCTCTTAGTTGTTTTGTTTTTTTAGCACTTATTATGTGGCTTTGCTATGGCTGTGGCTGTGGCTGTGGCTAGGGCTATGGCTGTGGCTAGGGCTATGGCTATGGCTAGGGCTATAACTAAGGCTATGGCTCGGCTAGGGCTAGGGCTATGGCTATGGCTCGGCTAGGACTAGGGCTATGACTATGACTAGGGCTAGGGCTAGGGCTATGGCTATGACTATGGCTATGACTATGGCTAGGGCTATGGCTATGACTAGGGCACACTTTTTAGCTGTGAAATAGTGGGAGAGATTTGAAAACATTTTGTTGTGGTTCAAACATAGGTCCCCGCAGCTTTATACGATCACGGAGACAATATATTTTTACTGGCATTTTATGTTTTAAAAATACGACAACACATAAGAAAATATATGTGTTTTAGATGTATGAGGGAAGCAGAGACGGCCGCGCTGAGCAGAACTCTGCCATAGAGAAAGAAGTGACCGCTATGATCTAGTAAATCACGGCTATTCAACTTATTTTTCCCAAGGGCCGAATCTTACTGAGCCGGAGAATCGCACAATACATCACCATTTAAAACATTTGACAACAGATTTAGCAAACACAATATCTCATTCAGTGACAGTAAAGTGGGCCACTACCCTGCAGGTATGAGACAGAACCCAAACCAGAGGAAAAATATATGTTTATACAAAAAATAGAGTCAAAAATAGTTGGAACTTTGAGGTTGTTGTGAGGCTAATCTACTCAAATCAACAAGACAAGCAGAGGATCTTATAGATGAGAGAAATCGCTCTTGAAGGATGTATTGTAGCATCTGTTTCATAAGGTGGACAATGAGGTACAGATCAGAATGGCTATTAAAGCAAGAGATAATGACAAATTAAATTACATAAATAAATGTGCTGCCTCATGTTTAGTTCTGACTGTGGGACTTCTGACTTTGACGTAAATTCATGTGTTTGGCCTCTGTCACATGTTTAGATCCGTTTTCTTCAGAGGGAAATATAAAAAGAGAGGTAACCACCATCACTCGGCCAATCAGCTCTCAGTATGAAGAAGATAAGATGTCTTCGCAGATTGTGGTCAGATGTTTTCACCAAATGTTACTTGAACAAGACTTTATTATTGGGACAAACAAGATGTATTTATGAAATGAAAAAGGTTTGGGTGTTCATTTGCTACAATCTGAGGGTTTCTCTTATCATTACGACGTTGGAATCTGAGTATTTGGGCAGAAGGGGCGAGTGGAGGCAGACGGTTTGCAAGGACATTTGTGTGTGTTTTGGATGATGTGTTTTCAGAGGTAGATGCAGATTCAAAGTTCAATGGTCAATTTCAAAGCCTGATATATGTAGTTTTTCCTTAAAGGCTGGAGAAAAATTGGCATTAGGGTAAAATATGTATATTTTGTTGTGTGAGGAAAATATGTATTGAATAATTACTTTTATTTCAATCTGAAGAGACCAAGACAGAAACATTTATGCATGGAAAAGATGTATTTGTTTGGCGCATTGACCCCGGCAGTGGCACTTGCAGAGGGGAGATCGTCTGCTGCTGTAGATGATCTCAGACCCCCCGGGGTCAAGCACTGGTGCAGGCTAGAAGCATGGTGTGAATGGGGCGCAGGCGGAGCAGGAGCCAGAGCAGGAGCCAGAGCAGGAGCCAGAGCAGGAGCCAGAGCAAGAGTCAGAGCAGGAGTCAGAGCAGGAGTCAGAGCAGGAGCCAGAGCAGGAGCCAGAGCAGGAGCCAGAGCAGGAGCCAGAGCAGGAGTCAGAGCAGGAGTCAGAGCAGGAGCCAGAGCAGGAGCCAGAGCAGGAGCCAGAGCAGGAGCCAGGGCAGGAGCCAGGGCAGGAGCCAGAGCAGGAGCCAGGGCAGGAGCCAGAGCAGGAGTCAGAGCAGGAGTCAGAGCAGGAGCCAGAGCAGGAGTCAGAGCAGGAGTCAGAGCAGGAGCCAGAGCAGGAGCCAGAGCAGGAGCCAGAGCAGGAGCCAGGGCAGGAGCCAGGGCAGGAGCCAGAGCAGGGGCCAGGGCAGGAGCCAGAGCAGGAGCCAGAGCAGGAGCCAGGGCAGGAGCCAGAGCAGGAGCCAGGGCAGGAGCCAGAGCAGGAGCCAGAGCAGGAGCCAGAGCAGGAGCCAGAGCAGGAGCCAGGGCAGGAGCCAGGGCAGGAGCCAGAGTAGGAGCCAGGAGCTTGAGGAGGCAGCGGGTGTTAAGAGCCTCAGGAAGTGGCTGCTTTTAAACTGCCCGCTTTGCTGTCAGTGGGTTGGCAAGAGGCTGGCAGAGCTGTGTGATTGGCTGAGGCTCGAGGCTGGCAAAGCTGTGTGATTGGCTGAGGCTCGAGGCTGGCAGAGCTGTGTGATTGGCTGAGGCTCGAGGCTGGCAGAGCTGTGTGATTGGCTGAGGCTCGAGGCTGGCAGAGCTGTGTGATTGGCTGGCCCTGGACGGGTGAGAGCTGTGGCCGGTCTTTCAGTATGAATTTGCGCTTCAGCTTCCTATTTGTAAATTTTAAATGTGTGCATTTTGTGTCCTAAAAGTGTTGAAAATGATCATGGTCTTGCTGTAACACAGTGCGTCTGGTCTGTCCAATGTAACTGCTCTGTCCATATCAAATACATACATAAATAGATAATTTTATTACAGCAAGAATAGTAGAAAAATCCAAGAATAGAAGTTTTTTGGTGTGGATTCAGGGATAATGCTGTGCTAACACTTAAAGAAGAAGAGCAGAAATATTGACTTTTTGAACAAATTATGACTTTCATTGGGTTTGTATATTCTTGTTTGGTTGATATATTTGGATAGAAACAGAACTGGACTGGACCAAAGACAAACATGGCAGAGTCCTGTCTGCTGATCTACATATTTAAAAACAAAAATGTTGTATTAAATGTTACTTTAAAATTTAGAAATAGACAATATGGTTGTTTATGGTTGTTGAGAAAAATACTTTTGAAATAAGTTCTATAATAGGTGTATAATAAGCTACATATTGGGCGGCACGGTTTGAGTCCACCTCCAGACCTTTCTGAGTGGAGTTTGCATGTTCTCCCCGTGTCTGCGTGGGTTCCCTCCAGGTGCTCCGGTTTCCCGTACCACTAAAAACATGTGCAATAGGTCTGACATGCGCCTCCTGTACTGGCCCCGCTCCCATCTCTGTGTGGAGCGAGAGACGAATGCAAACACAACAATTGTCAAGCGTTTTGTAACTCCGTGAAAGGCACTATACAAAAAGCTTTGTCTAACCACTTTTCAAACTGTATTTTTCAAACTTCTGTATCTTGTTTGGTTTTTTTGTTATGTTGTATGAAAAATAAAAGTTTAAATTTTTTTATTTCTTTGGCCTTTCTTGACACTCTAGATCGCCGTTCATAGAAGTAGTAGTAAGTAAATAATCTTTACTTATATAAGATATTTTTACAGACCACGGTCAATCAAAGCACTTTGGACGTCCAGAGTTCAGATACTGTTCCATTCTCTTCACACTCTTCACTCAGAAAGGCCCTGTTGCGTCCGTAGTAGTAGTGTGAAGTTTGCATGTTCTCCCCTTGTCTGCGTAGGTTCCCTCCAGGTGCTCCGGTTTCCCGTACCACTAAAAAGGTCTGACATGCGCCTCCTGTACTGGCCCTGCTCCCATCTCTGTGTGCAGTATGGTCTGTGAAAGGCGCTACATACATAAATTAGATTACTTACTTACAGCGATGACAGAAGAGAGACTCCGAAACACACCGGCCTCAAAACCCCATCGACACCATTCTGACAGTCTGATGGTACTGATGGTAAAAAAGTACATTCAATTCAATTCAATACTTTATTTCGGACACAAGAGTTAAAGGTCCATGCTTGAAGACATACAAAAAAAATCTCTGAAGCCAGTGAGTCCATATACTGGAGAAATAATAATAATAATAATAATTCAAAAACAGGGCGACAGTAGCTCAGTTGGTAGAGCATTGGCCTTAAGCCCAGAAGGTTGTGGGTTCAATTCCCACCTCTGCACCTTCTCCACCGACTCCCACTGATGACTGCTGTCGTTGTGTCCTTGGGCAAGACACTTAACCCCACTTTGCCCAAAGCCCCCACTGAAAGATCAAGGCTATGCTCACACTCAGAGAGCAGCCGTCCTCCTGTGGACTCACCACCTGCAGAGGGTCAGTGAGGGGCTGGTGCTATGAGACTTGGGTGGCATCTCTGATTGCCACCCCCCTGACCCAGAAATGGATTAAAGGGTAGAAAATGGATGGATGGATAATTCAAAAACAGTTTGACAGTGTAGTTATGGTGTTAGCTACAGGGCTGCTGGATATTGGAAATTAGAGCGATATTTGATATGAGTGTTTAGTATTGTGATAACGATATTATTGCGATATTTTTGTCTTTCTCCTAAAATCTGCATTGAAACGCAAGAGACAAATAACAAAAAATAAGCACAACATTAATAACGTTCAAATGCATAAATGTATATACTTTTGTTTGTTTTTCTTTTTGAATGTTGATGTGTCTGTTTTGTTGTTTTTAATAAAGGGAAAAAAAATAAAATATCGGGCATCTTTTCTATATGAATATCGCACGTACCAATATCGCGATAACAATGTTTTTTCAATATATCGTGCAGCCCTAGTGTTAGTGGAGAGGCTCGACAAAACCATACACTGTCAAAAACAGAGTTACACTGAAAAAAGTAAAATCTTGGTGAGATTTATAAACAAAAAAATAACACAAATGATGCTTATTTTTTTAATGGCAAGTTTATTTTTTATTTTATTTTTTTTGCTTGAATGTAGTTTGTTTGTAAGATTATTTAACTAGTTTTAAGATAATAATAATTTATAATATTATTAGAAAAAAAGTCTGAGCAGTGACGTTTTTTTGCTTATTACTGTTTCTTGTTGTTTAGATAAAATAAGTTTGTTTTTCTATATTTTAAGAAAACACTTAAATAATACTAGAAATGCATTTTTTTACACTACAGTCAAGTCATTTGGAGTTAATATTATTTTCTTCTTTTCAGAAATCTTCAGAAGTCATATTTACTTTTGGCAGATATTTTTTTTCCTTTTTTAAGCCGTATTTTACTCTTTTTTTTTCCAAGGGATTTTTACCAGTGTATGAGAAACACATACTACACATGTTTCAGAATATATCTTTAAATGATGGTGGTTGATGGTCCCTGTCTCTCTCTCTCTCCTCAGCCCTCATCCTGCTCTTCTACCTGGTCTTCTACTGCTTCTTGGCCGGAATGTTCGCTCTGACCATGTGGGTGATGCTGCTCACTCTGGACGACTACGTTCCCAAATACAGGGACCGCGTGCCCTTCCCAGGTGAGGCTGACTGAGGCTGTAGACCCAGGACTGAGGCTGTAGTCCCAGGACTGAGACTGTAGATCCAGGACTGAGGCTGTAGACCCAGGACTGAGGCTGTAGAACCAGGACTGAGGCTGTAGACCCAGGACTGAGACTGTAGATCCAGGACTGAGGCTGTAGACCCAGGACTGAGGCTGTAGAACCAGGACTGAGGCTGTAGACCCAGGACTGAGGCTGTAGACCCAGGACTGAGACTGTAGACCCAGGACTGAGGCTGTAGATCCAAAAATGAGGCTGTAGACCCAGGACTGAAGCTGTAGATCCAGGACTGAGGCTGTAGATCCAAAAATGAGGCTGTAGACCCAGGACTGAAGCTGTAGATCCAGGACTGAGGCTGTAGACCCAGGACTGAGGCTGTAGACCCAGGACTGAGGCTGTAGACCCAGGACTGAGGCTGTAGATCCAGGACTGAGGCTGTAGATCCAGGACTGAGGCTGTAGACCCAGGGCTGAGGCTGTAGACCCAGGACTGAGACTGTAGATCCAGGACTGAGACTGTAGATCCAGGACTGAGGCTGTAGACCCAGGACTGAGACTGTGGATCCAGGACTGAGACTGTAGACCCAGACTGACGCTGTAGACCCAGGACTGAGGCTGTAGACCCAGGACTCTGAGACTGTAGATCCAGGACTGAGACTGTAGATCCAGGACTGAGACGGTAGATCCAGGACTGAGACTGTAGATCCAGGACTGAGGCTGTAGACCCAGGAATGAGACTGTAGACCCAGGACTGACACACTGGCAATCTTTCTTACTGTAACCCGACCCGTGTTTTTGTCCCACACTGAAATGTTTTTTTCCGACCGGTCTCGTCCCGGTCTCGTCCCGGTCTTGTTTCAGGTCTGGTGATCCGCCCTCACGCCCAGGAGCTCATGTACGCCAAGTCCGACCCGACCAAGTACAACGACTACGTCAAACAACTGGAGTCCTTCCTGAAGCGTAAGTGCACTTATCGCCGCTCCCAGCTGGAGTCGGCCATGACACCAGAGGAGGCAAATATCCAGAGCTCTGGTTAGCACTAAAACTATTAGAGCCGTCATTTAGACTGCTCCCATTCAAATCAATGAAAGTCAGAGAAATTCCCCTCAAGATTTA